CTCTCTCTCTCTCTCTCTCTCTCTCTCTCTCTCTCTCTCCCCCCCCAGGTCCCACCCAAACTCCCTCCCTCCTGCCTCCCCTCCAAGATTGTTGTACATTCAAGCCTGCTGAAAGCTCCCAAGCATGCTTCTAGGCGTGCGACGTGGCATTTGGGCAGGGGTCTGATGGGGAGTGTCGCGAGGAGAGTGAGCCAGGGTGGGGTCGTGCGTTTTAATTTTCTTCTCCCAAACTTTGACCAGGTTTTGGATATTGACACCAAGTTTTGTGGGCGTCCGTACCACAGGATGTTTGTCCTCCTCAGCAGGATGGACTCTTGGATCAGATTCTTCACCGCATGACCCGTGCCCGGCGGCACTGCTCTTAGAGCCCTGCGGCTGTTCCGGCGAAGTAGATTGGACTGCCATAGCAGCAGCCGTGATGGGGCAGGAGATAGCTCCAAATGGTTTATTCGTTGGGTTTGGCCAGAATGTCGCCTTTCGCATTTCTTGCCCAGCCAGATGCACACTACGTTCTTCCACGAGCGAATTTCCATCCCGAAGGACATTGTTCTCCTTCCCGTTCATGCTTACAGCACCAATTGCATGCTGCTGCTGCTGCTGCCGCCTATGGTCGCCAGGCCGTTCGACCTCCCCGCTGTGACCAAGTACAGACAGAATATTTGATTCCTGTCTCCCTCCACTCCTCCCAACGACTCCCCCCACACCCACCGCCCTGCATTCGCCTTCTGCCTGTAGTCTTCCTCGTCTCGCACAGAGGTCACCAGAATCGGCGAATCCCGCAGGTCGCGATAGTAGGTCGACACCGACACCAGCCTTGCCCTTGTGTCTCCAGAACGAGAACTTGCCTTCACCATCGACAGCACCACCGTGTGCTGCAGCGACGGAGTCGTCCCACCTGCATTCGTCACATCGGTTGACTTCCACACAAGCCTGGCATCCGCGTGCGCCGCCATTACTAGATGTCGTGGATGACGCGGAAGGCGAGTACAGAGAGGCGATGGCAATCTGCTGCTGTTGTTCTAGCGGCTTCCTCGCCAAGTCCTGGACCTTTGCAAGAGGACTCCCTCCCCGAACGGAGTGGACGTTGTCAGAGTAATCATCGCTGTCGGCATGCGCACTTGAGCTATAGCTTCCATTGGTGGTGACATGCAACATGGATGGGCACTGAACCCTTGAATTACGCAAATACCTCTCCACACCGTCAGAGTCACGAAGACCCCATCGCTGTTCCCACTTCTCAGACCAGGTTTCTGAGAACACCTCGCCTTGGTCCGACATTCCAGATCCAGACAGGCATTCCTCACAGCCATCGCGATCCATCACATAGACTCCTCCAATCTGCCTAAAGCCATGGTTACTTATCGACGCAAATCCATCGTCAGCCCATGACCGGGCAACCTGTTGCAAATGACCTAGAACCTCAATGGACTCGGGATGTCGAAGCATGGGCTCGGGATCCATTTCCATGACCTCTGTCCTGTCAGCCTCATCCCGTACATCGTCGCCACTATCCTCCGACGTACCAGCATCTACCAAGTACCTGATGGATGCCTCCGGGGCAGGGACAGCATGTCCCAGGTGCAGTTCCCGCTCCTTGTGCCTTGCATCTTCAGTGCCTGTCGATACTTCGGACACTAAAACTTTGCATTCGCAGCTAAGGCTTAGGGCTGTGGAGCGTGCCTCCCGTTCAAGAGGAACTCCACTCTCTGCTGAATGGACTTGGCCCTCAAACAGCTCGTACAAATCACTATGGCAGAGTGAATACAGATCACTATGAGACGTGCCCACATCCTGCGAATGAGGATGAGCACAAACCTCAGAAGAATACGGATTGACAAGGTAATCCCCGTCTGCTTCCTCTGAAGCGCCGACAAAGGATGCTTCGCCACAAACTCCGCTGTCCTCTTTCTCCGAGATATCCTTGACTTCAACTGACACAATTGCCTGCCTGTACACAACAACATCTCGAACCACATCGTCATCGTCATCCTCCTCATCGTCCTCATCATCCACTAAGGACCTCGCATCTTCTCCTCCACAATGGCAAGGCGATTCCTGCAGTTGGACTGCCTCCTGCTCCTCCTGCTCCTCCTGCTCCCACTCCCTAGTCTTATCATCACAGCCATCACCCTGACGATGATCATGAATGGTCGAAAGAGCACTTGTATACTCCATCCCTTCCTCTCCACCGTCATCGTCACCATCACGCTCGACAGCCACACAACTGCACGACTCTTTCTGGCCCCGCATCTTCTGATCCGACAGAACTGGCATTGAAAAGAGGTCTCTTCTGCTCCGATATCCTTCCTCATGGCCATTACAGTCCCCCGAACATGGCGGCGTTCTCATCGCGACCTCTGGACCATGGAGGAACGCAGTCACGGCCTCTCTTCGCCTCCAAGTTCTGCTGACAACTTCTGCTTTCTCCGTCTCCAACTCCAGCAGCTGCGCCTTGATGGAGGAGCCACAGACCCAGTCCATGTCACCTTCATACTGCTCCCAGTCCCTTCGCGATCTTTGGCTATCTTCTTCCCTACATGTGCAGGTGGTGCCTGCTTCCCCATGCACAGATGAGACACTCTCTTTTTCATACACCATGTCCTCACCATAGGGATGAAAGGAACAACCACAACTTTCATCCCCTCCCCCTCCCTCCGTATCACCACCATAGACAATCCTAACAGGCGTATTGAACTCATCTGAAACACTAGAAGTGCCATCTCCAACGGGGGTGGAGGGAGGAACCATCCTCTCTTCGAAAGGAGGGTCTAATCTGCCACAGTGACACAACAGAGAGGATTCTCCCTCAATAGCAACCCTCATCTTCGCTTTCTTCTCCTCGTCTACTTGTGGGAACAAAATACCCCCTTGTGGAAACACAATAGCCTCTTTTTCCAGAAGTTCTTGAATACTTTGACGAAAGGAACAGCCACAACCTCCACCCTCTCCCCCAGTAGACTCTAATCTGCCATAGCAACAAGACAGAGACGACCCTCCCTCAGTCGGGACCCTCATCTGGTCTCCCTTGTCCTCTTCCGGGAACAAGATGGCCTCCTTTTCCACAGTTGCTTGCCCATTCTGACGAAAGGAACAACCACAACGTTCCACCTCTCCCCTCCCATCCGACAGAGATGACCCTCCCTCGGTAGGGACCCTCATCTGGTATCGCTTGTCCTCCTCCTCTTGTGGAAACAAGATGGCCTCTTTTTCCACAGTTGCTTCGCCGTTCTGACGAAAGGAACAACCACAACCTTCACCCTCTTCCCTCCCATCTGCATTAACCCATGCACTCGTTCCATGAGAATACTCTACAGCGCCATCCCTGACAGGCGTGGATGGACGAATCGTCCTTCCCTTGAGACTAGACTTCAAGTCCATATGATCGCTCGACAAATAGGTATGCCCCTCACTAGACATCCTCATCTTGGTGTTGCCATCCGTACCTCTCATCTCTAGGTCTGCTATGTTGTCCATTATCTCTGACTGTGCAGCCTGATCAACAGAGGCGGCACCTGAAGAAGCCCTGGCCATAGCTCCAAGCTTCTTCTCCGTGATCATCTCTGATGTCTCTCGGCTAGCCTGCATATCTTCGGGGACAATTCTCTTCTCTTTCCCAGCCACATCAACACCCCCCTCAACTCCATGTTCAGAACCACAGAACATCAGGTTGGGCAATTCACCTTTGTCAGGCCTTGAGTCCTGAAAGTCGCGGCAGGAGTCCGAGTTGCACGCCATATCCTGTGTCTCCCGGCTTCCCCATTCTTCACCGCCAGTCGACTCGTCATCTGTCTCCTCCCCATCTTCATTCTGAGCCACCTGACTGCTGAAACTTAGTTCCAAGCGGGTCAAAACACGCTCATCCTCTACGGTCCTCAGTTCCTCCTGAGTCCACCCCTCCTTTTCCTCCATTCCTTCTTCCTCATTTTCCTCCTCTCTCTCTTCTCTTTCCGTCTCTTCCTCGTCTTCCTCCTCGTGCTGCTCTTCTTCTGTTCCCTCTTCTTCTGTTCCCCCTTCTTCGTCCTCCTCTTCTTCTTCTTCCTCCAGCTCCTCGAACGCGATCATAGAATCTCGAATCATCTGCTTCAGATCATGCTCGTCTACAGAGTCCGTGACATCCTTTTTCTCAGAAAAAACTGAGACACCGAACAATGACAATTCTGACTGGAACTCGGAATTGCCATGCTGTGGCCCTTCCATCTCATCATCTTCACTATCATCGATGAAAATATTCACATCAACATCCGCATCGAAGACGGGCGCACGTCCACGATTTCTCAAGCTGTTTCCTTCTCCGCTGTCAACCACCACCTCCACCGCCTCATCATGAGCCATTGGAATAACTAGTTCACCCTGCAGCAGCTCAACGGAGGTCGAAGATTCAGTCGACCTTACATGTTTTCCTTCCTTGCCAGCAGTCTCTTCGCATGTAGCGAGCCCGGACAACACATTCAATACCGGAGAGGAGGGCGATGCTTGTTCATGTCCCAAAGACACCAGTGAATGTGGAGCTGCAGAGTTCGCCCGCCGCTCATCCGAAACCAGCTGCAAGGAGGAGCAGACCTCTGCTGTTGCTGAAGACGCCAGTTCTCCGCCAATGCCAGACAAGACAGTTGTATCTTGCTGTCGGTGCAGCAAAACAACACCAGCACCTCCTGCTTCTACATGTGCTTCTTCCGTGTGAGTACTACCATCTCCTGCCTCATCCTCCATCGGGTCATTTGAAATCGCCAGGCGAGAAGAGCAGAACCGCACTGCTTCTGCATTCCCACCTTCCGTACGCGTACCCGAAGCAGGAGAAAAACCAAACTCTAGAGCTGAAGCATCATAGCGCAATCCCCTGATAGGTGACTGCTCATCGACCTGCGGAATAATTTCTTCAACCAGCTCTCCTTCACTGCTAAAAGACACATCCGCCTCCTGCTCTTGAGGCGACGGAACACCACCACATCCTAACTCGCCCTCCATCAGATCGCTTGGAATCACAAGGCAAGGAGAAACCGGAGAACCAAACTCTACAGCTGCACCATAATCCATTCTCTTGATTGTTGTCTGCTCATCCGCCAGCGGAATAATTTCCTTGATTGGTGTCTGCTCATCCACCAGTGGAATAATTTCCTTGATTGGTGTCTGTTCATCCACCAGCGGAATAATTCCCTGCACCAGACCACTAGAGCTTCCAGACCCTTCAACAATCTTCATAGCCTCGTACCTTATCCTCACATTCTCCACCAGAGCTCCCAGTGGAAGAGCATCATCAGAAGCAAATGGCGTCGCAACCTGGCCCACGTCCATTCTGGTCTCCACATCGTTCGACCACACGCAACTTGCAGCTGCTACGGGTGGATGAGCATTGTCTCTACCCGAGTCGTCCGCACCAGCTTCCATGGGCCTCGCCACCATGGCAGAGGTATTGTCTTGTGATGACCGCACAAGAGCCTCGGAATTGGACTGAATCACATTGCGACTCACCTCCACTCTATCACCATCACTCACTGGACATGCTACACTTGCGTCTGCTGTGCTCACATGTGCATAGTCTCTGCAGGGATCCTCCAATCCAGCTTCATCGGCGAGTTCCCAAACAGCAACCTGCTCCTTCTCTGAGAACATGGAGTCGACTGTGATTACACTCGAACCGAAGTATGGCATCATATGATTGCCATCCTCCTCCTCCTCCTCCTGCTCCTCCTCCTGCTCCTCCTCCTGCTCCTCCTCCTCCCAATTATTACCATCAACAGCAGCGTCCTTGCTAGTCTTGCCGTCGGCCTCCATTTCACAGCCATCTGTTTCCACTTCATCCTCCTCTTCTTCCTCAAATTCCTTCACCACGTGCTTGCCCATCGTTTGCATTCTTTCCTCATCAGGCAGCACACACTTAGTGCACACTTGCTCCTCCCTCTCCTCTTCATACTCGTCCGCCTCTTGCCTCTCGACTGGAAAGACTGTTTTCACGTCATGCTGTGAATTCTCCATCTGCTGCTCCCTTTGCTCCTCCATCCACATGAATGTATCTGCATCATTCACAGCACGCTCCACATGGACTTGCTCCTCTGACGATCCCTTAGCCGCAAATCCTTCCCCGTGTTGATCCTTCTCAAGCTCTCGTTTTCCAGACTCAATCTCACACCCCGTGGGCATCGAATCCACAGCGCTAGAGGGAAGACCGCGTTCCTGCTCAGCATCAGTTGCTGGTGCACAATCTTGCAGATCACTAGGCCTATCGATAGCGCAATCGACTTTCATCAGCGTTCTCTTCTCAGCCACATCGCCGACACCCGTCATGACCTGTGCTCCTGTCTCCATGGACCCCTCAGCGACGGCAAACGACCTTCCTATCGCACACACTTCCCTGCACTCCACGGCCATCACTTTTCCCTCCTTAACCAACTTCCCCTCGCTTCTCTCTTCCTTGTCCTCCTCCTCAATCTTCTCCCTCCTCTCCTCATCCTGCCGACCATCTGCTTCCACTGCCATCTGCAGCTCAGAGTTTGCAACAGGTACGTCAGGCTTAAGTACATGCAGACACTCTGCTGTCGCTTCTACCGCCCCATGCCTCCCCGAGCAGCTTTCATCCCCAGACGAAGTAGTCAGCACACTCTCTTCTTCTCCATGCCAGTGGGACACCACTCCATCCGCTTCCGCTTCTCTGTTTCCGTACCCCTTTTCAAACACTCCAATTTCATTCTCACCTGCTTGAAATTGAACAGGCACTTCCGCTTCTCTGTTTCCGTACCCCTTTTCAAAGTGCTCATTATCACCGCTCCCCTCCACAACAACTTCCTTTTCCCTCTCCTCCTCAAACTTCTCCTCCCCAAACTTCTCCTCCTTCAACTTCTCCTCGTCCGGTTGTTTCGAAGCACCAATCTCCTTGTTGTTCGCTTGCAGTTGCGCAAAGTAAGCAGGCTTCTCGAAGCTCCGAAAGTAGTGCTCAGTCAAACCCTCCTCTACATGGATAGTATTTCCATCACTGACGACCCCACTCTCGAAGGCAGGGCCATTTTCGAGGGCAGGGTTCCCTGGCGCCTCCTGCATTTGTTCTGACGCTTGTGCCAAATCAAACAGCAAGCTCTGAGGGTCGACGGATACATCAGCACCCACATTCGTTGGCTGTCCGCTCACCGCACATCGTCTGTGCGGGAATGAACTTCTGCCACTGCTGCCTGAATGACTTCCATCTACCGGTTGGTAACGATTCCTGCCTTCACGTCCAAAGCCTTCACCCCTCATCTCACACTTAACCTTACGCTTCTTCTCAAGAAGAGGCGAGAATACGCAGGCCACACCTGCATCCTCCAACACAACCTCGTCCAACTCCTCTGCCTCTGTCTCGAATGAGCTCAGCAGTATCCCTGTTGCGCTTGGCTCACCTACCAAAGAAGTCCCACTAGATGTGAGTCCTATAGATCCTGACAGATCTTTCGGAATCCCAGCAATGTCCCTTAGAGACGAACACGACTCATCTTCCCTCTGCAGCCATTCTGACGACTGTCCTCGTTGCTGAATCTCATCGACCATATCCACCCATCCAGCCCGACTTGCAACCACCCTCTCTTCGTGCCCTTTGTTCAGCTCCTCTGCCGCCCGCCATCCTTGGTCTCCGTTGTCTCTACCCACCAACCTCATTTGACTGAAGTTATACGGATTGTCCGAGTATGCTCTTAACTCTGTGTTCAATGGCCATGATTCCCTCTGGTCCTCCACCCTCCGCACAACACTAGTTCCCGCCGCACTGCCACCGCTGTGCCCTTGAGTCATTACCTCCAAGGCGGGCGCCGTAAGCGCCCGCTCCTGTTGCTGTCGAAGCCTCCTCTCCTCTTCTTCTGCTGACCTTTGAAGATCTCTTCTGAATCGCTCATAAGAGTCAGATGAGTCCTGCTCCGACAGAAAATCTGGAACCGAAGATCGACAATCGCCCAAGAACTCCCTCTTCACTACCATTATTGTCTCTCTCCTCCTTGCCTCATCCGCCGCCTCAAGCTGTTTCAAGAGATCCATGTCCTCTGGTCTTCCTCTCTTGCGGTTTCCAAGAGGGCTCCTCATCTGTCCATTTTGCATGCAAGCCATTGCCTGTTGGCTTGCACCGAGCAATGGCAGCGGGGTATAGGCCTTCTCCACCTGTTCGACTCCTCTCTGTGGCTGTTGTCAATGGGAAAAAGTAAGAAAAAAAAGCAAAGGATAAATCAACAGAAACACCAACCAAACCGTACTCGACAAGCACAGATATGGAAGTTAAGAAACCAAATAACAAGTCTATTGTCCCTCAGGACACAAATTACTATTGTTACGAATTTATGACGATAGACGCAAAAAATTGTGCAGATCAACTTAAAATGCAGAAGAAGGCACAATTCAAGGAGCTGCTATCCATAACAAGGCACAAGGAAACATACACATACTCTCTCTCTCTCAAGGCACAATTCAAGGAGCTGTTATCAATAACGAACCAGAAGGAAACACATACACATGCTCTCTCTCTATCTCTCTCTCTCTCTGAAGGCACAATTCAAGGTGCTGTTATCAATAACGAAGCAGAAGGAAACACATACACGTGCTCTCTCTCTCTCTCTCTCTCNTCTCTCTCTCTGAAGGCACAATTCAAGGTGCTGTTATCAATAACGAAGCAGAAGGAAACACATACACGTGCTCTCTCTCTCTCTCTCTCTCTCTCATGCAAACCGATGCTGCTAGGGTTGGAAACATACTCGCACTCATGGCCGTGGATATCACTGGCTGAGCGACAGCGTACAGTAAATTTACGGTTGTAACAGACTAGTTGCACAGACTTACTGCCTTTCTTGTCAGGGGTATGGAACGGCAGCCTGCCAGGGATGCAAGCTTGCTGTGAGTACAGCCGATGACTTTTCTTAGGGGTATCACTAACTCTGAGCAACATGGCGAGTCGATATCCACCTGTCAAATATATCCTGGGCGGAGTGCCGCGGTTCAACCACGTGACGAGTCAGTGAACGTCCGTTCGCTGAATGTCCGAACAGGGTGCAGATAAGACAAAGAAGAGATACAAGGTCAGCGCTGCAAAGGACACATTGACAATCCACACCGACAAGGCAGGCAGAAGGAGAGGACCAGGAAGACGGATGGACGGCACAACAGATGACGAACCGACCGACCGACAGACGGACAGACAGAATAAACACAACAAACACAACAGACAGAAAGAGCCTGCTATGTGCCAGAGCGGAAGAAGGAAAAAATGAGAGATCGCTTGATGTGTCATTTGCCCCCTGTTTATCTTCTGTGTACCAGGTCAGGAAAGAGGGCAGGTGCAAACAAACACTGGCAAAGAGCGTGAGTGAGAGGGGCTTTACCTTCAGGTGTTCGATGAGGCCATCTCCTGAACTTGTTTGTGAACTCTGAGTGCCACAGTCTGTCAATACAAACAAATAAAAGGCACATGACAAGAATGAGGAGGCCATAAAAAAAAAAAAAAAAAAAAAGAATTAGGAGGCCATCAGACATTCACAAAAAGAAAAGGAACAAAAAAAATTGAGCAGCCGATACACAGAATCTCAAATATGCACAGCACACCACAGGGAGCTTGCCAACTGTGATCTAATGCTTTTTAAAGTTTTTTTTTTTTTTTTTTAATCTTTTGATCTAATGCTTTCATTGAAGTAAATCTAGAAATTCGAATTTATTTTTTATCAGAATTTTCCACTATCGCGCCAGCATTGTCTACCGTGTGTTGTCCTGTTCGCTCTGCACAACTCGCAGAGAAGAAAAGCGGTGTCGACGGTGTTTTTTTTTTTTTTTTAATCTCCAAATTCTCTCGCTCATTCCATCCATCAGTGTGTGTGTTTCCCGTTGACCCCCTACAGCCTTCACCAAAATACAACGTACGGTCATTATTGCTGTATCTAGACTCAAAGCCGCCCCAAATACAGCTATACTGACCATATGTTATTTTTCGGGTGAAAACAGTAGCTTTACGTGGCACCAGAGGACATAACAACAGTGGCAATATAATTCAAACTTTCCTCAAACTTTGCTCGAACTTTCCACGAACTTTCCTCGAACTTTATGAGTGCATTCTGAGGGGCCCTGTACCTAAGCACTGAGGATAATGCACAGTACTGCCCAGCAGGCTGTCTGACTACCAACCTTCTCCATCACACTACCACCTCAGAACAGCAGCACGCCAACTCAAGGAAAAGGGGGGAGAGAGGGGGAGGAAGAGCAACATGCAGACAATCCAAGGAAAAAAAAAAAAAAAAAAGGAACTTAGGATTTGACCAAACGGGCTGCATTTTCAACACTAGTGCCCCCGATGACATCACTAGAATGAGGCAGCATACACACTGGTAAAGGGAAGGGTTGACCTACCA